CTGTCGTTTTGCTCCTCAGCATGGCTTCCTAAAAACGCAGCAGGATTTCTCAAACATGCATGAATGAGTCAGAGCAAGGCTTTGAGCACGTTTTTTTTTTATGAGAGTATAATATTATAACATGATATAAAACTCAAAAAATAGTGTTTAACTGGGTTCTTTTTTTAATGCTCAGCTGCCTGAACTGGTTGGTTCCAAGAGGTTAGGAAAAGGGGACGTTTACCTTCCAGTCATTCCCAAAAGGTCCTCCAGTCTGACCTCCATCCCCAGGAGTCTGAGTCAGTCCTGCCAGTATTTGTACGACAAACGAAGAGGATCCTTCTCATCAGTCACATCTCAGAGGACAACAGGGCACGTCGAAAAGCAGGTGAAATGACTGCTTTGTCAAAGCTAAATAACAAAGGGGACACGTGCAAAATCCACTTTTTAAAAAACACGTTGTGTATTTGGTGTTTGTAGGAGTGCAGAAAAGTTTATTTTTAGTTTTTCCCGCTGCTACAGTATGTCTTTCAATTTATATCTTCTGTTGACATCTTTTAATTAATTTGTAAATAAAATGTTTCTGCGCCGCTATATAGTCGTAAACCCCTCTATCAAACTAGAATGCACCGCTCTGGAAGCTGGAGGTGGGCGGGGTTTTAAGCGTCTCGTCTGAATTTAAAGAGACAGCCTCAAAACGAGTTGAGACACAGAAAAGAGGTGAAACTAAAGTGAAATTTTGACCAAAGCATTGCAGTTAGACCCAAAGTGAATGATTTAACTGTGACAAAGAAGTATTTTAAAGCATGATGTCTCCTTTAACAATGCTATTAAAGAAACGAGTTCCCTTTTTCATCCCCTTTCATTTTGTTCTGTTTCATACCAGAACAAGCTGAAAGCTCAAAAAGAGACAAAGAAATCGAACGTGACTGTGACGATGACTTATTTGGGCCAGAGCCATCGAGGTTCGGGTTTAAACTCGGCTCAGGATGAACTGAAGGTGCTTCAGCAGATAAACGGAGGGGAGAACCTCTGTGTCTTTAAAGACCTGGTAACTCCAGGAGGTAAGTGCTGTTACAATAAAATATTTATTTTAATAATTCAGTGTTACAGTTTTAACATCCTGAGACCCAAGCTTTTTCTAGATGAGCATTTTATCTTTCTTCAAGATACAGGGCATAAGCAGGACCTAATAAGTATTCAGAATTCAGAATCATTTATTGTCATTCACAAACAACATCAAGATGCAGAGCAGAACAAAATTTGCAGTTTAGAACATCCGTCCAAAGAAACACACATGCATAACAAACATGGGGGAACGAATGTCCAGGGTCTTTCGCAACTTAGTGTGCTACCTTTTCAGTTTAGAATGCACACACAATAGGAAGGGTGAGTGAAAAAAAGAGCTTTGATCCTGTGTTTTATACAGAAAAACACACAAACATATGCTCAAAAAAACTACTCTGCAACAGTGCAGTTAGCTAAGGATGGGAGGGGGTGGGGGTCAAAATAAATGGTATAGGGAAGGGTTCAGCGGAGCCGGTGACATTCAGGGCACAACTTCGTGTTGGAACCGATCAGAAGACCTCAAGAGTCCAAACCAGAAATATAT